TGTTGATTTAACGGAATTAAAGATTGAGAAAATAAATTATAGCACATGATACACTTCAATTCGACCAGGTGTTATCTATCAATAAAGTCAAGGCAAACAAATAATTTTCTTTTGGACAACGATGCATTCATCAGTGATGCAAAATGTACTTATAACCAATTATTTTTAATACACTTTTCCAGTAAGCAACGATGCTTGATAGGTGTGTTTGTTTGCCGAAACCGACAGGACCCCCTGGTGGTTATGACCATGTAAGCCTGATACTGAGATTGTGGTTTGAATTTGCAGTAAAGTCCGTCTTAGTGAACACCTCTCTCTAGTGAATACTTGTCCCTAGTGGACACCCTTCCTCCACACATACTCTTCTGACTTATGTATAAATTACCCTCTCTGAAGTGATCACCTACCAACACTGACATTTTTCTCGGCAAAAAATGTTCAATATACAAAGGTTCTACAGTATACATTCAAGTATCACAAGGGCAATAACCAACAGTATAAAAACACTTAAAGAGTAAATCAGACATAAGAAAGCAAATCCCCAATAACCAAAACAATAATCTAAGATACAAATACACCGTTTAATAGTCATTAGTTTTGATAAGCCGAGCCTCAAGTAATACAATTGTTTTACAGAAAAATGTGTTTACCAATTGTTCCATGACATTTTAACAAAAACATCATCTGGCATAAATCTTATTTTACAATTTTAGAGCTTTATAGTAAAGGGTTTTATATCGTTGAGAAGACAATAAGCATCATACATATTATGTATATTGATTTGAACCAAATATAACATACCGTGCCTAGATCTTTTGAATATGTCAGCACAAGTGTGAAAAGTGGAAACACGTACAAGAGGTGTTACCTCTCAGTATGCAAAAAAACTCAGAGCGTAACTTTTCGCGTCCCCAAAATCCACAAAATGTATTAACTAGTTTTACGCACAAAAACAGTGTTTAACATCCTCCTCCCTCACCTAATATAAATAATGCACTGATGAGAATCAAAGGTTTTCCCAGATGGATGAACTTGCCCTCTAATATTTCATATCACTTTCAGTTATCATAACACATAGAAAAGGGCTACATTCCTGAAGGCTTTATTTGATGTATATTTGTACATGAATAGTCATTTATGAAATGAATTGTTTAATGAGCAAATACTCGGATTCATCATTCGCACCTGGTTTATCATAAATCAATAATGATCTTATCTAATTAAATATCTTAATATAAACTTCTACGAACATCAGCAATGCAAGTGGTTGTCATTGCTTTCAATCGAAATTCTTCGGGTTAGTCTTGCTTCAAGACCCTGTGTATGTAGTATGTACCTACCCCCGCGTACGTCACCTTTCTTGTATAGTGTTGGGTTGGTTAATTACACGGGGAGGTGGCCCACGGTGTTGAAGCAAGACTATCCTGGAGTGTAGTTGATTCAAGGGATATTTTGACTAGGGGAAAAATAGACATATAGCACACGATGCACATTATTTAATTCTATCGGGTCATATCCAACACGTCACGTTGGCCAATCGGATCGCCAGAAACGCCTCCGTTATTAGATAAACATATTTACTGATATATTGCATTGAACATATGCCAGATTAAATAGTCTGTGAGAGCCAAGTATGCAAAGCAGGTTTTCAATGATGTAACGTTTATCTTTCATATCATAATTATTTTCGATTGCATAAATATGTTACACAACATTCGGATCAAATTATTGTTGTGCAAACCATTGGGTATGGAGTTCATCCAAAAGTTCCCAAGAAAGTCCGTAGCTTCTGTTATTCCATAGAACTTGGAGTACTAATGAAGTGTTATATCTATAGACAAATAATTGTCGATATTATGATATGTATACCAGTAATAAATATTTAATAGAACTAATATTTTCTTTTCAATAGAATAGTGTCATTTCGCATTCCGATACGTCATTTCCATTTACATTGTTCTTATATCAAACTTGTTTTGAAACAAAACCAATACATGTGCATGATTCAGGGATACTTGGATTTAAGGAAGATCAATTTTACCGCCATGCTAAGTGTAGGAGATGAACGTAAACAAGGGGTCAAAACAATCTATTTTTTACAAAAGTTCCCATAATGTAAGGCACGTGGTTAAGTTCCATCGGCAAATAAAACGCAATTGGCAATTTTCAAACAGAAAGAAACACATGAATAAATTACATCATTCAAACTATTAGAGTACTCAACGATGCGTTAGCTGTCAAATTGAAAATTTAAAAAGTCAGAACTGAATGACCAGCAATTGGTGATCCCCTTACCCTTTAAATTCTAATCTCTGCGCCCGGGTATGATCTCTTCGGAAATCCCATACATTCCTATGCAAACCATAAGTAAAGTTACTATAGCTATAAGCAGCGTATCCGTTCCTTTAGAATGTTTCTTGGAATATAAACTTATGAATCTTTTAAGGACAAACCAGTTGTTTTAACATTTCTAAAAGCAAATATTCGAAAAGGGAGGCAATCCAACCGAATGATTAAAATTAACATGACAAAATGTCATCTTAAGTCAGATTTGAATTTCTGATAACTCTGTAGATGATAAATGATAAATAGGTCTATTTTGAAGAAAGTTGAAAAAATACCTTTTGACCTTTTTAACCTTTTTTACCTTGAAAAGGTCATCGAAGTCAAATCTTAGTCTAAAGTCTTTGAACTTCTGAAAACTTGTAGATTATTTTGAAAAAAATTGAAGTCAGTCTAAACAGTATTTGTTAAGTTATTGGAAGTTGTAAGAATTTGTTACAGACGCCGATCGTCAATACCAATATTCCAAAAACGGTTTTGAGAAAGTATATTTTAAGATTTTGGAGGAAACTACCAAATATTTTTTAAGAAAGTGTCCCTTAAGAACTTAGAGGAAACTACCAGTCATTTGTTATTAAGAAAGTGTATTTTAAGAAGTTGGAAGAAACTACCAATCTTTTGTTAAATTAGTTATGAAATTCAATTGTTTTAAATGTTGTTTTAATTGTTTTTTTATTCCTTTTTTATTCATAGAAAAACATTTGAAAGCAGTTACATTGACATATACAATATACATAATATCATAGAAGTCACACAATTTTCCATCATATTCTTTTTTAAGGCATCTAACCACACTTAATATTGTTCATTTGGAATTCAATGCTAGAGTCGAAGTTATTAAGCAGAAGACATTGGATAAGTGATCTGGATATCGGATAGAGCACTTGAAAAATGAATCCAGAACGCTTGACCTAGAAATCGAAGATGGTCATGAAGATTAGTGATGAAATATGTTCAAAGGAAAACCGGTCAGGAAACAAGCTTGTGGTTTATTGGAATAGGTAACTCGAACATATAGATATACCACATGTGACCTTACTGCCACAAATACACGTTTTACATGATTATGCGTATTTTGAATACTCGGAATTTACAATAAGACCTCCAATGCTTGATTTATAGGAAAACTTTTGCAATCAGTTGACGTAGCGCCTTTTTGAATAGATCTCCTATAGTTCGCGTATCAGTTAAAAATCATAGTAGAAGACCTACCACACCGTGTGCCTATTCATTTAATGATTATTTAATAAATTTCTCATGAAGAAATAAAACAGAATTTTTGAATTCTCTAGCGGAAATCACATCATCCCCCTCCACTCATTTGGTCCTATTTACGACCGTGTTAATAGAGAAAAACAAAGTATCCCTACAACTCGTATTAGAAAGTGTAGGGGCAATTGCAAGGAGCTTGCGACTGAGTCCTCATTCATGCTATAATCCACGTTCCATGACTGTCCTTGAATGCTTTATTATAGTTTACATGCAAAAGACACATGAGACATGAGGCACGACAAACAGTTTAAAGACTCTCGACGTGGTACACGATTGATAGCATTACACCCAAACACACAACCTAAAATGTGAGCATGCATATGAATGCAAACATGTAAATACCGAAATAATTGGAGACATGATTGCATATAGTGAGTATATAAGTGATGAAGCTGCAAAGAATACAGAGCACAGCACACGATAGGTTGAATTGAACATTCTCGAAGTCTTTGTCTATTGAGTTCAGTTCATATCATTGGCAGTTTGGATGCAGTTTCGGACAACAGATTAAGATCGAATACCTTAACTACATTAGTGACAATAAGAAATATTGGTTTTGTTTTTAATTAAGAAAGTCTGAAAATGGAATTGCATATATTCTAACCAATGGGGAAACAAGAGGGCTGCGATGCCCAATAAACAATATCAACTCATATACTAGTAAATAAAATAATTTATTGCAAAAACCAATCAGCCTATTTGCTTAACACATTTTGTGTAAAAGTTTAAAATAATCTTTCTTTTGAAAGTTATGAAATCGATCTATTTAAAATTGTTCCATCTATTTAAAACTGTTCCATCTTAGTAAAGATAAATTCAGTGCATTTCGAGAAAATGCTTCAAATAGTATGGCCCCTCTCGTGGCACAAGGCTAGTCATACATAGGGATTTCAAGAATGTTCGGTCATCAACTCACTTTGAAGGAAATTGATGGAGATAGTAATTAGATCTAGAATTTGACAGTTCATATACGTGACAACAGGCGTTTAGAGAGCAGTGACCACATCCACACGATAACTCTGACAAAAGCTAGATTTGTTGGAGGACCCAGAAAAGAGCAGACTGGGAAGAGACACGCAGAAGCGTATGGAAGATTCCGACAGGGTCTGCATGAGTAGTGGCCATGGTCATAAGGCGATTTAAAGATGCTGGTTTACTATGGGAACTACTTTGGGATGAGCAACCGTGGTTAATGCGATGAGCACTATACCTAATGAAAAATGAAAAAAATCTAAAAGGTATGTGTACTTTGATTGATGGATGGAAAGGATGGATCAGAGTTGTCAAAAACAAGAAGATATATATGACCACGATGTAGCTCGAGATGAAAATGTCGGAATCAACCTTGTCACTTCATCACCCGTGCAAATCACTGCAACACTGACCTGATTGATTGAGAGGGTTGTATCTCCTTGACATATCTGAATCTCCTTTGACCAACTCCTCGCTCTCTTGAAGGAGTTCTGTATGAGAAGATGATAGTTATTGTAGCTTATACTATCAAAACAGTACCGCGATACCGCGATGACTACTTTGAAATGGCAACAGTTTCAATAAACACATATTTGTTATGATCTCCCTGTGATAAGATGTTGGATGATATTCTAAATGTCTGTCTTGGTAGGTTTTTAAAAACAACGAGGATTACCACGTCAAGCACACATGCTGATTGCTCCTATGAATCGAGGTATAAAAATATAAGGTCTAGTAAGGTGATAACTAGAAGTAGCAATGATACCTTTGCTTTCATAGCTCACGAACGGTCAATGTGACTTCACTTACCCCTACTAGATTGTACAATCTAGGGGATCTTATGATCACATCTCTTGCAATTGATAAATATGAAGTAGAACTTGAGAGTTTCTTTAATATTGAACGTGTTTACTATAAAGGCATGTAAAAATATCATATTTAGTGCTAAGACTTGTAAAACCCATGGTTGATAGGCCAATGCAGCGATCGTGTCTAATAATATGTGGTACGGTGATACAATTATGCAAATGAAATACTATTCTCCTCAATCCTTAAACAAGGAAGGAAACCTGTTCATTATTGATAGAAAGCGGACAAGCTTATCTAATTAATGAAATGAACCCCACGATTATGTAACCAGTGACTTACCTTTATTTTTCGCAGAAAAGCAACCCACGAGGTAGATATAAAAAAGGCCTATCCGAAGCCAACCTGTCTGTTCCATGGTATATGATTCCGGAGTGGAGTGAGATAGTTCCCGTATGATCCTATTCTAGTTTTCGCCCAGGTTTTGTTTTTGTTGAAACGATCTCACGGATGTAGTTGTTCCAGTCGGCTGGCATCCGAGTGTGAAAACTTGTTGGAAAATCCCTCTCCAATCTTGACATACGCTTTCATCTCGTCATTCGCACCTGTATTCAATTGCTCGAATCTGGTAAAACATAAAACATTTCTTTAAGAAATCTGGCATAGAGGATTTGTGGATATGTACAAGTAATACCTGAATCAATCAATACTACTTATTTTCCCTCGTGGCTAAGAATGATCGCTACGCAAAGTCAAATTATTAGTGATTGTTAATGGGAGCCATTGAGAAAGCCGACCAACTTACTTTGGCACGACCAATAGCCTATAAAACGTTAATTAGAACTCTATGAGGGTAGAAATAATACAGTATAACCCTCGTGAGTGCTATTGAAAAAATAAATGTGATCTTCGATAGTATGATATACTAGCTCTACTATAATGTTTTCATTCTCCTGTTTATTTGCCTACCTGCGGCGATTCTGTCTAAAGAATAATTGTATTTTACTGATTCGAAAGTTTCCAACGATAACAACTTGTAACAAAAGTCAATTTCATTGAATCATATGTTTTCCTTAGAATACAATGAACCTTATTCTTCGCGGCTGAGTCCCATGATCCGATCGCAACCGCTTACATTAAAGACGTTGTTGATTTTGATGATGGCTCAACTAATTGTGTTCCAGTGTCTATAGTTTCCAATTAACCTTAAAACGGATGCTCGTCTGTTTTAGTATTTTCCGTCATTAGTCTAAGATGCTTGTGTATATAATCTTTCCATACTATGTCAAAGGTTGTTCTAGGTATCCTCCATTGGAGAGACTTTAGTACGTTTCGACGCAATGCTTGATAACTTTGGTTGAGGCGCAATCTTTGACTAATCATTGAACTCATGTAGCTCTCTTACTTTTAACCGACTTATAACTTATTGATCGTTATGCATAATTATCGATGACTTCTAATTCACTAGACCTGATACAGTATCCAATTTAGAATTTCACTTTGTAAATGAACAAGTCAGTTTACCATTGACCATTTTGAGTTTCTAAGTGAGGAAGCACAAAGGGCAAGATTACAAACAAAAAATAGCGCTAGAAGACACTACATACAACTTCATTACTGAGAAACTCATACAGGAATCCGTTGACTTCAAATCTTCATTATTTCAAATGATTTTATATTTTGACCTCTGACCTTGATGACATAATGCACTAATTTTCTTGCAAAATGTTAGCCAATATAAGAGTTGTACAATCAATGGTGTCTCTGATAATGCTCTAGTCTCATTGTGGGTTAGCCTCAAATCTCGGGATGTATACGTAATTTTAATTAAGGAGTGCAGGAATGAACCCATGCATAACCGAGAGACACCATTATTTTATTCACTTTGCATAAACACGGGTGTTAAAACACGAATATACCATGAGCACATGCTTTGAGGATCCGCGTTGTTTGAACCTACCGCCGAGCACACTTATACTTGTACATTAAAACCCGTTACACAGTCATGATACCGCCGAGCAAGCTCATTGCATCATCGGGTCTGCTTTACCCCCGTGATAAATCATTTGTCCAAGTGTTTGCTACTCTTAGTAATAAGTCTCGTTGTGTTTTGGAGACCCTGACAGAATAATTTAAATTGACATTTTACTGGACCGTGAATACTTGACATTTGACATATAGACTATTTGACATTTTGAAATAAAGTGAAATGAAAAATACATTTTACAATAGACAATAGATCGATAAAGCAGGACTTGTAGGATTAGTGTTGGAAATGAACTACGAGTATTTGTTCACTTTCACTTGATACGTAATCATTAATTTTGGCCAGATCGATTTACCTCGAAATATCAAAATTGCCTCAAAATACTTATTGCCTCTGGTGCAAATTGTCGCCTCAGAGTACAACGAGTTTACATTACGCTGCCATTAGCCTAAAAATTCTAATATTTATACTGTGCGTGTACAGGGTGAGCAAGAAAAGGCAACCCAAACAGATTTTAATAACTTAGTCATCCGGTATGGGTTTAAGTCATATTTGGTACAATTGAACCTTGTTTCATTGTAGTAAGATCCATTTGTCTACTCCAATTATGGCCATTCTGCAAAACATGCTCCAAATGCCTAAACATCCCAAAATCACCCAATATGAATCCCAAAATTTTATTATTGGGACTATTTCATAGACAAGGCCATAAGAAGTAGATTCTTTGTTTTGCGTCCCCTTGCTTGCACGATTTTGAGTAAATCAGAAAAAAGAAACACATCCAAATAGCAATTACAAGGGTCTGAAAGTACCATCACATTTCGTTCAATCGGAATCAGACGAAATGGCGGATAATTTGACGTGCGTCAAAATTGTCAGTGTTATTAATTAGTTTGGCATACATTGTGTGTTTTCTTATTTTTTACCCTTGAATAATAGCTATGTTTAAATATATTGTATAAAATGTATAGATCTGTGTTTGTATCACTGCAAATTGGATGCCATCCCTTTTTATGCCCATAAAATGTATACATTCCTCAGCAAACAAGTTTGTGTTTTGTCTTGAGTTTGTGTTTGTTTTCCTTGTACCCTTGCATGATTTGGATTTTGCCAGGACGCAAAACACAGAATCTACTTCTTATGGCCTAATGTAACAACTTAACAAGCATAGATGCAATAGAGAGTTGAAATAAGAGATTTGAAGAAAAATGAGAGTCATTACACAAGATATATGTTGGCGTGTAGTCCGAAAACTTCTCCCGATGCGTTCAAGTTTGCCTCAAAAAACAAGTTCGGCATTTTGAGCATGTTTTTTAAAATGGTCATAAAATGTTACCCATTTGGAATAGACCAATAGAACTTGTTGGTGAACTTTGAACAGGCTTCAATTGTGCCAAATATGACTTGGGGACTTGGGGATACGGGATGACGGAGTTGTGAAAGGTTTGAGAGTACGTATTTGATTCACTGACCATAATATCTTGCTCGATTACGTATTATGAATGATTATCCTTAAATTAGCAAGGAATTGTTATTGGTGGTGACATAAGCATGATAGCCTAGGCCTAATACATCGTTGTCAGCAATTATGTAATTTATATTGATCAAATAATCATTTTGGATCGATTTTATCAATATTAGGAAATTGTGGATTTCAGACACTTCCCGGCCTGTCAGAAGCCTTTTAACTGAACCTGTCAAATTATAAAATTGATCAAAACAGGCAAAAAACGTAGTATTTTGTCTAACCTACTGAAATACATTTTTGATTTATCAGAGTCTCTCTTCATCTGAAACCATTAGGAAATTCTAAGGGATAGTGGAGACTGGGGACCCCACAATGCTAAAACACTGCTATATCATTTAGATAGACAAGCACAAACAAAATGACTGCTCCCTCGATCAGTTTTGCCAAGTTTTATTGATCGAGCTAGGTAACATTCTATTTTAGAAATAAGAATTAAAAGTCATTTTGATATTACATTGACAGAAACATATTGTTAATAACTAAAGAGCATCAATCTTTAGAAAAGCCATTGCCAAAAATGGATACACGCACGATACTTGTAATATATACTTTTATTCCATGATGGTAAAATTCTCAGCAATCTGATTGGTCCACGTGACTTAAATATATCCTGTATTTACACGCAAATTCCACTGAGCGTTGGATACAGAGTGAACATGACGTCAGTGTTGGGATACGGTCCATATCCCAACGCCTCAGATTTCCATCAAGGATATGACTATTACTGAAAAAATCAACGCATGCTAATATTGCATTTTGCTACAAATATCTGATTTGAATATCAGGAAATGATACGGTGATCATCAAACTTTATAATTTTAGGATAAAACACGCATCGGTAAATATAACAAAATATAACAAAAAATCAATATGAAGCATGAACATTGTTTTCATGAACTAGTAAAAATCCAATATGGCAGACGAAAGTCGAAAAAACGTTTCGCTACACTGCACTTCCAGCTGATGAAATTGAAGAAAAAATAATTGAAATCAAACTTATAATACAATAAAAGCAAACAACAAGGCCGAAAAGACTTTGAAGGGATTTCGATGTAAAATATATTTGAGGTGAGAAAGTTGATCTGTTTCTCCGGTCCCAAGCCAAGGAAATGGACTTGATTTAGGGGAGTTTTAATTGAGTAATCATGGAATAAAAACGTTACTCAATGATTTCTCGTAAAATACAGAAAATACTCTTCCCTTGAAGGTCTGTATTTCACTCTGCTAGCGCATCGTGAAATACGACCTTCTCGGGAAGAATATTTTCTGTATTTTACTCGAATCATTGAATAACTTATAGTATTATGTTGATGAATATCACACTAACTGTTGAATTCAGATAACTGAGACAAGTGACATAAGAGACTTTGTTAAATGATGGAGACACTCTGCTCAAAAAACATTCTTGTGTTCTCATTGCAAGCCGTATTTCATTATCTGAATTCAAGTAAGTTATTTCTATGTATCATTTCACAGGTAATACACAAGAAACCCAGCCATCAAATATGAATATATAAACAATGTATATAAATGTCACCACCTGCCATTTGTTACAGATATCGAACGACAACCGCCGACCACCAACTGCCAAATGCCGAACACCGTTCAGAATAGTATAACAATACGAGTATGTCACGACTTCTGGTGGTAATACAATAAAAGAATCAGCTGCCACTTTGACAATTCTCAATTCTATTCATGCTAAGTAGGAGAATATACACAATTGCTGTCAACTTAAAATAAAAAATAGATAAAAAAGAGTTATTTGTTATTGAAGATTTAAGATGCGGATATTCAAACTCAAAAATTGAAAAGGGGTTGCCCATTTTTGAATATATTTTGTCTTTCAACTTCAAATTAAAAAGATCAAATGCTGTTGAAGATATGAAGTAAAAGACCATTAGGAAAATAGGTAGAGCATGGAATGTTGTAAGCAAAATACATTGACATTTCTTCAATCGTCTCAAGTTTTCGTTACACCTTTAATCCCCCTGATTAGGATGTATTTATCTCAGGTAATGAGTGTCGTCATGCGAGAAACATCATTATAGAAAAAACGAAACTTGTTTAACTTCCCCTGGTAGTACAGTAAGCTTAACAAAATACCTAA